CGGGGGCATGGTGCATGTCACATCAGTGTGGATGCTGCCTTCTGGAGTTGTGTGTCAAAGGATGGAGTATGGAGCGTTAGCGAGGTCCTGTGATGCTGGAGACTTGGGTGAGAGAGAAATTTCCTTTCTATTAAAAAAGGAAGATTAGGGACTTTTTTCTCTGTCATTTATTTGGAGGAATAAAACTGTTTTTTCTAGACAAGTCTGCAGTCGACTAACTTAATCGTCCAGTCAGCCACCATGTTTGGGAGTTGTGGCTTGGGGCTCTGTTTTTCTCTGATCCCTGTTACTCTTGATATAATGTTGCTGGGAGCTCCTAAAAGGAAGGTCCCACGATAAATCAGGATAATCCTGCACTCCTATGACACGGCGGGACTTCTTCGCATATGGTTTCCACTGCCCCAAAGAAGTTGGTGATCCCGTATCTGGTAACATTGCTGCTTCTGTTGACTGGAATGGGTGATAGGGACATGCCAGCAATGGGATGCCTTGACTGGTGCCTGCTGTTCTGGGATCCTTGCAGCCCCCGTCCAGCCAGGGTGCCCCAGGTCTGCACAGCTGTGAGGCGCACACTCTGTGGGTACTGCTCACATTGGTGACTGTGTGAACAGTGGCTGACCCCAGCCTCCATGTCTTCTCTCACGGATCTTTCGCAGGCCAGCCTGTGCCTCTCAATGGGCTCGCTGGCTGTTTCCTGTCTCCGGATGAATCTTACACCTCTACTTCCTTTTTTCCCCAAATTTCTAAGGTCTCCCCTTCCCTTCGACTTTCACTTCCTGAATGCTATCACCACAGGAATGAAATCTTCAAGTTTTTACCCTCTTTTCTGACCAACACTAACTCCCACGTATGTTTTATTAGCAGAAGTAGCAGTGCTAATAGCATTGATTGAGCACTTTTTATTCATTATGCTAAAAGTCTTCCGTGCAAGGTTACTTTTCAGCTTACAAGAATCTATCTCTGCAGTAGATACTCTCAAATGAAACTTGGGTTAAAGACATTTTCCAATAGTATGAAGATCTTGGCCACTTGATCTTTAGGGAATCTGTATTATTTGTATTATTTATTTATTTATTTTTAATCAGTACCGGGTATCGAACTCATGACTGCCTGCTTTTGCAAGGCAGGTGCTTATGCCGCTGAGCTAAATCCCCAGCCCCATTATTTATTTCTTTATCACTGACATGTATCATAACATCAGAGCTTGGCACATTAGAGGTTTTTAATCTATTGGGTTGAAAGCATGAGTCCATTAATTATCTGGGAATAACTTTAGAAGTCAAAAACATTTTAAGTTACAATCCTAGCAGTATCATTTACTGCACTCAACTTGAGCAAGTTGCTTGACCTCGCTCCCTACCTCCTGTGGTTGCCAGAAATAACAGAGGAGATAGCACAGCTCGTCTGTGGTCTAGCAAAGGGGACCTGCGTGCAAGTAGTGCTTAGGTCTAGGTGGGAGTGGTGGGAGACACGGCGCAGCCCCCCAGTGAGACAGGAGACGCTCTTGTGGGCAACAGTTAACTGCTGCTTTATTTACGCGGGCTCTGGTTTATATATTTGGCCGTGACCAATCACAGGCTGCCACGAGGAAGCAGGGCGGGAATGGGACGCAGGCTCTGGCTACTATATCCAGCTGTGGCCAATCAGGGGTTGCCACAGAGTCGGCACGGGGCGAATACGGAGTGAGCACGAGGTGCGCATGAGTTGGCTAATTTAGAGAGGGACGTAGTCCTTAGTCCCGGGTGGGGTATGGTATGTTGAGCGCCTGCGCCCAACAGGCATGGATGTCATTACCAATAAAGCTTCCCTTCCCTTTGCATTTGCTTCCTGGACAGCCACAGAGGAGGACTGGTGGCCCCAGGCAAGTCTGCAGAGCACCTGATTTGTTCTCAGGGACAAAGCCCCTATCCACAGTCTGCCACTTGATGGACAACAATGGATAGACTTTACTTTTTAAATAATGCACTACCATCTGTCAACCATTCTCATCCACATTACGTCATTTCATAATTGCTCAGAATTTTTAAATTGCCTATAGGTTGAGGAAATGTTATAACATGCCTGGCATCTGCCCCTTTTGTCATGGCAGAGTCATCACCAAGAATATTTTGTCCTGCATTTATTGTGGACTTTAACAGTACTTTCATTTTTCTCAATTCTTGGGTTTGAGAAGTCTCATGGAGAAAAGCCCCTTTTTAATCTCTTCTGTTTCCATGTGGCCAAATGGAGAATGGTCTGAGATCTCGGACTCCTGCATGCCTTTGTATCAAAGAGCGGGGCACAGCACACCCCTCCTGGGGCTTCCTTCTCTTTCCATCCGTTTGGTGTCACAGGGTTCTAGGACTTGGATGAAGCTCCACAGGGCTGCATTCACACTGTTCCCAGCACCGGAAAGCTTTGGCCACTCTCTGTTTTGCTACAGGCTCTCCTTAGATAACCTGATTGATTCTTTAAGGTAAAGACCTCCCAATTTATATCTCTATCTCTGAGCTCCAAACTCACACATCCCTCTCTCCTGCTCCAAGATACTGGTATATTCTTGGTTTCCTCGTATTCAAAGAGAGAGTAACCAAAATTGTTCCATAACGTTTTGTGTTAGAAGTGATCACTTGACTGTCCTTGCTGCGGATCTCTGAAAAGGCAGACTAATTTTCTACAACCTAAATAAATGAGGCAAGAAATAGAAATCTAACTTTTATTAGTTTTTTTGTTTTGTTTTTGGTGCCAAAACTCAAACTTATGACTTTGTGCTTGCTGGGCAGGCGTTGTGCCACCACTGAGCTATATCCCCAGCCCTGAAATCTAACTCCTGAGAGAGAGAATACTCATTTAATATATTCCGATATGTTATGTATAATTTTGTGTTTTCTACATTTTATATTATATTTGGCTTATGCCTCACTATGATAATGGTTGGTTTTAGTTAATATCTAGTTCCTTATTCATATTGGGAAGTTATTTAAAGAAGGCTCTATCTTCCTGATTTTGAACTCTAGAGTAAATATCCCTTCTTTCTTATAAACTCTTTTTCTCACTAATTGCAAATCAGAAATTTCCTGGATGTCATATTTGTTTTCTAATGCTGCATGACAAATGACCATAGGATAGGTATTTAAAGGACACCTGTTTATCACCTCACAAGTTTTTCGGTCCCAGATCTGCACAGCATGGGCGGGTTCTCTATGCACAGTATGGCAGCAGAAATCAAGTGCTGAGGACAGTATTCTTGCTGGAACTCACGGTCTCCTGTTAGGAACAAAATTCAGTTCTTTTGTAGTTGTAGAATTGTACTATTCATTCAAAGGGCACATTAATTAGATTAGGCTCACCTAGGTAATCTCTCCTTCTTAAGGTCAACTAAATACCAACTTTAATTACATCTGTAAAATCCATGTTTTTATCCTGTAATAAGAAGCACCACTAATCACAGGAGTAGCACTAGGGTAGGAAGATCATGGAATCGTCTGAGAACTCTGCCTGTCACAATTTATTTCTCCCATGTTTTGATTAGAGTTGCGTTCGTCACCACATATCAGGACACATAATTGCAATAGCTTAGACAAAAGGATATATGTTTTCACATAGCCAGAAATAGATGAATAATTAAAGATTCTGGGCACAATGGCTCATTGTCATCAGGGCCAGTGACTGTGGTTTTCTTGCGCTGAGCTTCGTAGGATTGTTGTGGCTCCTGCTGTTGTGACTCACATGCAAGACCTGGGAAAAGTGGAAGTGAACGTGATGGTCACATCAGGGACATTTGTCTTCTTCATTGGGCAAGCTAAACAAACAAAGATAAGAAAAATACTTCTTGAGGCTCTGTTCCTTACTGTATCTTCATCTATGTCTAATTAACCAAGTTACCTACTACCAGTAGGTACCAGGAGTGGGGAAGCAGGAAAAGGAGGTGTGACAGACGTGAACTGACAGTGACTCACCCTCAGTGCTGGATGGTGAGGGGAAGTGCGCACTGGGGATGCAGCTAGTGCTGCTCTGTTTCCTGCAGGTAGAATGTGTTGTAGCAGAAAGAGTGCAGAAATAAAAGCCAGAAGATTCATAACCTTGCCACAACTCTGTCCTGGTAGCTCTGTGAGCTTGAACTGGTCACATAACATCTCTAAGTCAGTTCCTGTTATATCAAGCGAGGAAAATGTCTATTTTAGTCTCTCAGGGTTATAGTAAAAGTAAATTGAAATAATCCATGGAATTCTTGGCTTTCTGAAAGTATATACTAATGATTTTTAAACAACTATTTGATACAAAAACAAGACTGTATTTCATCAGTTTTTGAAATATGTATGTATATTTAATGTCTGTGTCACATGTATTTTATAATTATGGCATTTTGACATCCATGAACAGTAGTAGTGATATTTTGTCAAGCTTCTTGGAAAGCCTTACGATTATGCCCAGGAAATATGCCCATCACAGGAGCCCAGAAAACTCCCAGGAACTGAGGGTCCATAGGGTATAGGTTCATAGCCCTAAAACACACGTGAGAGAAATTACCCACACCAACTTTCTAGCTTCATGTGGACAAAATATTAGTATCTTTGCCTCAAAAATATGAAATTGAGATAAACCATGATGAATTTGGCAAGATGCAGTCAGATAATACTTTCTAAGGCTTTAAGGGACAAGAAAGTATTCTTGGACTTTAAAGTTTGACCTGCTATCTGGGTCACTCACTGATATGACATCCTGTTCAGGTACGTGGGATGTCACTCAAGGTCATTGCCTCAGGAATGCACCAAAGACCAGATGCAATGTCTAACTGTTGTTAAAAGCAGGCATGACTTTGATTCTTGATTCTGAATATAGTAGGGTAATGGAATTATTGGATAGTACAACCAGGATTATTTTGAAGAAAAATCACACAGTAGAATATGTTGTAATTATAACCCTGGGATATACGTATATATGCATGCATATATATGTGTGTGTGTGTGTGTGTGTGTGTGTGTGTGTGTGTGTGTGTGTGTGTGTGTATACATGTATATGCTCCCCCACCATACATAAAAATGTTGTGAATTTAGAAAGAAAATAACACCTCCCCATTTTTCCTTCCTAATTTTTTTTTGACCTTTCAATATTTGGACTATCAGGGAAAACAAAACAAAACTGCTTCCTAACTTGTAGGTTTAGAATTGTCACCAGGATCCAGCTTAATGTATCTGCATAAACTCTAAACAGATGACTGAATAGTGTTTACCAATAGACTAAAATCTAACAAGCAGTTATGATTTTTCAAGGAAACCATCTAGTTGAATACATATAAAAAAGAGGCCCAAGGGGAAGATGGCCAAAGATATAAAGATCTTCTCTGGATCACTAAGCAAGCAGGGGAGTAATGTTTTTGTATAATATAGTGTGGCTGACCTAATAAAAAATGTTGTCTCAGCACTGAAGGAACATCATTAATCCATATGACTGTATGAAATTCTGCTTTAATTCTCATGATCTATAAAAGTTCTGTAACATTTCAAATTAATATCCAGGGCACCAGTATAAAAATCACTTTTATTTAGATTATCTAAACCGATCTCTTTTTTAAAAAGTGAACATGCATCAGATGGGAATGTTTCGGGGGAGGACTTACAAGGCTGCCTGTAACTGATAACAGACTGACCTTTCACAGTAAACAACCACAAAGTGACAACATGTATGAGACAACTGTTTTCAGGAGCTGGTCAACAGGCAGCACAAAATATCCAGCTCAAAGGAGGGAAAACTCTCGAGATGAGCTTGGTCAGGCTGGCCTTGGCTCTCTTCCAGCGGAGTTTCCTGATTGCAGTGTAGTCAGCTTGAGTCTGAGCTGAGCACAGCAGTCCTGCTGAGCTGAGGAAGCAGAGATCAAGGTTCAGGGCAGCTGAAGCAGCTGGAATCCATAGGCTGGGGACAACTTTCTCTGTTCCGTGTTGCTATGAGAAAATGCCTCATTCAAGATGAAGTATAATGAAGTTTGTCTCCTACTGCTGCTGGTGGTCAAATAGCATGGTGTTCCTTGGTTCTTGGTAAGGGATACAACCTGGCAGAAAAGCAAAAGGAAGCCAGTAAGGTGCATAGGGTCAAACCATGGGAACCTTGTCTTTGTAACAGCTTGCTCTTGTGAGATTACATTAATCCATTCATGCGCTGTGTTCCACTAGGATCCATTTCTTTCTTTCTTTCTTTTTTTTTTTTTTTTCAACACTGGGGCTTGAACCCAGAGCCTTCTCCCTGAATTCTATCACCATCTGTTTTTTAATCTGTATTTTGAGTCGAGTTCTTGTTTAAGTCACTGGGTTGCCGCGGCTGAGCTTAAATCTGTGATCTCCTGCCTTGGCCTCTGGTATTATAGGCCTGTGCCATCCCACCAGGGTTAGAGTCTACCTCTTGAAAGTTCTACCTTCTCAACATTACTGTTCTGGGGACCAGGCTTCCAGCATATGTTCCTTTAGGGGTCAAACCATATCCAAACAAAAGCAGGGCACCAGAGAAGAGAAAGCTGCGGGGAAGTGTGCGTATATTCAGAGAGTCCTTGCTTAGAGTAGAGTAATCATTTACAGCCTGCAGCTTACTAAAGGCTGTTCCAGGATTGAGATACTCTAAGTCAGGCAGTCCTGAGGGACATTGGTGGTCCAGCTAGGCCACAGCAGAAGGTCCTTGTTAACACCTTATTAACAACCCAAGCAGCCAACCAAGATGTAGAAAGTCTAAGTCTTAGAATTAAGGACCTCAGCAGGGTTTGTAGATTTTTCTCCAAAGAGGCAGTAGTAATTACTGTTATTTTTTTTTAATTTTTTTTTTTGTCTTTTTCTTTTTTATCAGTACCAGGGATCGAACTCATGACTGCCTGTTTGCAAGGCGGGTGCTTATGCCACTGAGCTAAATCCCCAACCCGTAATTACCGTTATTAACCAGTAATTATTTTAGTCACTGGGAGCCATACAGCATCTGTCATAATTGTTCCAACTCTGCTACTGTACAGCAAAAGCAGTATAGACAGTATGTCTATACATATATGTCCATTAGCATAAATTTACTTACAAAAAAGGCAAAGGGCCAGACATACTCTGTGGCTGTAATTTGTCAACCACTGTTGTAGAGTAAGGCTTCACCTTTTCCCCCCGTAACAAATCCTAGAGTCAAATCCTATTGAGAATTGCAGAGGTGATAGTTTGAAGGTTGAGTCTTATAGCAATTAGAGGGGCTTAACACACAGCTTCATCCAAAAACATGAGAGACCAGGTCTATGCAAGCTTAAGGGAGAGCAACCAGTAGTCGAAACTGCCTGCTAGAATAAAAATCAGTACTCTGTAGAGGAGAATCCAGTCCAGCATTCAGCAACACTTACTAGGAATACAACAAAATAAAAGTATATTATTCTGGTTCAGGAGAAGAAGTCAATAGAAGTCAACTAAATGACCCAGATGTTAGATTTAGCAGACTGTTTTAGAAGCAACTGTTTAAAAATATGGTCAAAGTATTGTCATAATGAGTGAATATATAGCAGAATGTCATCTCAGCAGAGAAGTAGAAATTATAAAAATGAAATGAAAATTCTAAAATGGAAAAGGTTGAGTAAGACAAAAACTTTCATAAGATGCCTTAACAGGACAATCGGGATGACAGAGGAGTCGGCAAAATTGACAGATCAAGAGCATAAATGAAAAAGGGCAAAACTCATATCTGAGGAAGTAGTGACTGAATTTTTTCAAATTTATGAAAAAATCTGATACATAGATCAAAGAACCTTAACAAACTTCAAGTAAGATATGTTCTACAAAAAGCATATGTGGGTTCCCCCTGGGCAATTGCTGAGACCTAATGATAAAGAGAAAATCTTGAAAGCAGTTAGAGAAAAAAAAAATATTTCAAATGCATGAGACATTGCAAGCAACTCCTCACTGCAAACATTCAGACCAAAAGATAAAGTACTAGGCCGGGGATTTAGCTCAGCAGTATAAGTGCCTTCCTAGCAAGCCCAAGGTCGTGAGTTTGATCCCCGTACAAAAAAAAAAAAAAAAAAAAGGATGAAGTATTGAGGAAAAAATTCTATGTCTAGTGAAAAAAGCCTTCAAAAATAAGGATGATATGAAGACTACCAGCACATCATGGATTAGTGGTCACTGTGACGGTTGCCATTGAGTACCCCATACAGTTTGTATAGCAGGCTAGAGGGAGAGGTGTTTAAGATGTGCAGATGGGGAGGAAACGGGTAGCTGTCTGCACAAGAGCTGATGAGGGGCTCAGTGAAGGCATTCTCCATGGGTCTAGAGAGGAGAGTTTCAAGAATTCCTCCAACTCATTTTGAAATTCAGGGTTGTCAATGTTCCAGCCCCTCCTTTCCCCGTGCACCGGACATGGCGCCCACCCCTTTCAGATACATGGAGTGTAACTCACTCTGGATAGCATGCCATTCCTGTGCTTTTTCCTAAAATACCTCTGCCTCTACATTTTGGCTCAGTTCTTTCCAGTGCAGCTCAAGGCCTCACTGTCTGAATGCTCTTATTCTCTGTTATTGCAATTTTGGTAGATAAGCCATCAGAATGGTTCGATTCTTTTTTTTTTTTTTTTTTTTTTTGTCTTTTTCCTTTTTTTTAATCGGTACCAGGGATCGAACTCACGACTGCCTGCTTGCAAGGCAGGTGCTTATGCCGCTGAGCTAAATCCCCAGCCCCAAGCCATCAGAATGTTAGAGAATTGAGGTCATTGCTTTATGTCACTACAATACATCCCTGCAGTGGAGTGTAAGCTACTTAAAGGCAGCAATGCTTGCTTCCTTGTCTCCTTAGAATCCAGAAAGGGTCTTGGACCCTTTCTGTGTGTGTGTGTGTGTTCCTGAATGACAATAGTCCCTGACTTTGTGGAGCACATCCTCAGTCCTGTGTGCCTTTTAACTTTGTGTCCCTCCTCAGTTTCTGCTCATCAGTGTCTGAAGTGTGCATTTTTGAGCCACTTTACTCCTAAATCTTTAGTATCGTCTCATTCCCCATTGAATCTTCTTAGCTTTTAAGGTTTGTCAGTCCTGAAACCAAGGGCACCACAGTCCTCACCAAGCTGACCCAGAGACAGACCTTCTTAGGGTCTGAGCATTAATCTTCACTCGTGTTGATCTTCTGCCTCCATCATTATTCATCCCTCCCTGCAGCCCAGAACCAAGAACATCTTTGAAACCCAGGAAACCTGCTTAGCCCTTGGTGATTCCAGCCTCCAAAGGCCTTCCTACTGGCACAGTACTCACAGTGCGTCACTTAGCAGGACCTTTGTTAATTCTGTGCATTCATCTTCCCAGCTAAATTGTGAGCAGCTTGAGGGTCACCACATCTAAGGGTACCTGGTACCTTTCCAGACACACAGCGCTTATGAATACATTAGAGGACTGACAGGACACATCACACTGTGGTTCCCTCTTATTGGACAATTGCATTGCAGTGCCTTCACCCAACTTTAGGGTGGAAGGGATGCTGTGAAAGAGTTATCTGACAAGTGATTCTTGGCCAGCCTTGCTACTGATTCTGAGTCATCACTCATTTGTGGTGACTCTTAAGCCGTCTTTGTGATTCATATTCTAAAAATGGGGTGAGGTTTTTAACTAAGGAACTAATTTCAGGCTGAACTTAGCCTCACAATTACTGGGTTCTTTTGTAGGTTTCAGGCTGCTCCCATGGTACTTCTCAAAGTCTGGTATCTTATGGCTTGCTGGATGTAGTTCTGCCATGACAAATACTTATTAGAGTCCATTTCAGAAGATTGCAAGGCAAAGTTCTGTAATGGATGTTCCACCAGCTTTTCTTGGGGCTACTTATTGTTTGCAACTGCCTGTGTTTGATCTGGGATGGATAAATTAAGGATGATAGATCAGTCTTTAGATAATCTCTCTGTTTCTGTCTCTCTTTTTCACCTTCTTTCGTTTTCTTTCTTCCCTCTTTCCTTCCTTCCTTTCTCCCCAACCTCCTCTTCCTCCAGCATTGAAATTTAAACTTAGAGCCTTTGGAGTGAGCCACACCTTCAGCTTTATTTATTTATTTATTATTTTGAGACAGAATCTTTTTTTTTATTATTATTATCGGTACCGGGGATCGAACTGACGCTCGCCTACTTGCTTGAGGCAAGTGCTTATGCTGCTGAGCTAAATCCCCATCCCCGAGACAGAGTCTTACTAAGTCACTAAACTGCCTAGACAAGGCTCTAATGTGCAATCCATATACCTCTTCAGGAGTACCGGGATTATAGACGTATGCCTAGATTCTTTCATACTTTTCTTTTTTGTTTTTTGAGACAAAGTCTCACTCTGTAATCTGAATTGGCCATGAACTCATTTGTAGCCCAGGCTTGTCTCAAACTTGTACCGATCCTCCTGCCTCAGTCTCTTGAGTGCTGGGTTTACGTGTGTGCACCACTGTGCCCAACTCCTTTCATACTTTTCTGATCCGTCTTGGATCCTCATCTAGAATATGCTTGTATCTGTAAAAAGAGGGGGTATGTTATATCTCATGTCTAAATTTCCCCGCCAAACCTCGTGCAGTCTTAGATGGGGCTTTTACAGAGGTAGCTGAATCTAGACTTTGCTCTGCTAGGATTAGGGTATATGATTAGTAAATCAGTCCAATGATTGGTTTGGCACTGCCCTAATACTAGTAACCTAGATGCAGTTAAATAAAAGGGGCAGAAAGACACTATTAAGGTTCCTTATTGCTTTTGCTGTCTCCTGTTGCTACAAACAGTTGCTTATCTGCCATGTGTCACCCTGCCGTGGAACCAAACAATTACGGACTGAAACATCTACTAACTGCAAGCTAACTAAACCTTCCTCCTTTAACTTCGGTTCTCTGGTATTTTGTCTCAGCAATGAGAAAAGGAACCAACACAGGGTATTTCTAAATTGGCCTTGTAAGTCCTGTAACTGAGCACTACCTAGCTTCTAGGTGACCTTCTTTACCAATGACTGAAAACAAATATGTGTAAACAACATAAATGGGGTGACTCTGTAAAATCTGCATTCTACTTCTAAGCCTTCTACAACCTTAGGTGAACTATTCAGCAAAGCAGCCATGGTGACAGTGGCTACACTTACAAGGAAGTTAGAATGAGACCTGGTGCAGTGAGCTTCATAGCTCATGTGCCATTATTTATCACTGTTATTGTCACAGAGGGTTTATTATACTCAGCCCTGAGCACCTGCCATACATGATCTCATTTAATCTGAAGAATTATAAGGTGACTTATTATTCTTGTTGGGCAGGGGTGAACTGAGGCTTTCAGAGGTTGAATTATGCATCCAAGACCGTACAAGATTCTAGTCTCAACACTATCTTCTAAGTCCATGTTCTTAGGTTCTGTTGCTGTGCTTGATTTCCTCAGACCTCAGATTTATCATTAGCAAAGCTTAAGAGCTGCCCTATTCATCTTTAAAACACTCGCATTCTAAAATTTCTATAGATCTTCCCAACCCCTTTACAGTTCCCTTTTTCCGCCGCTCCCCTCCCCTCCCCCACCACTTACTATGGATTTTGCTGGCTTCATCACGGGAGCAGCAGGATGTTTTCCCACTGAGTTATGACGCTGCATGTGTCAGCACATGGACTTTACTGTGGCTTTCGTTTTGAGAGGTCAAAGTGGGGAGTGTGGGTTTACATGCGTGCACTGCTGTTGAGAGAAGAGGAATCTGACTCTTCAGTTTTTTTGTGTTATCTTGGCCTCCAGCCATAACCACACGGAGTGACACAGAGTGTGACAGGGTTTGGAAAGGCTCTAGAGGCAGAAGCTCCTGGAATCAGCTCTCAGAGTGTGCGGGCCCCGCGTTGTTCTCTGGTAAGATCTGGGTTAGGACACCTGCACTCCGCAGGCTGTTTGAACATGTCCTGTCCTGTGGTTACTAAGGATTGCAGGAGAGAGCCTTGACAGGAGAGCTTTCCTGATGTTTCATCCTCTGTATAAAAAGAGTATCTGGTAGATTTCCACATGGGAGGTTTCCCAGGGCATTTCGTTGAAGTTTCGTTGTGATTGATGTTTATAAAGCATTTGTCTAACTGTCTATCTATCTTCCTATCCTGTAGTACTTTTTCATAGTTGGACCCAAGAGTTAGAATATTCTGGTATCGACAGAACAGGCTTCAGGGATTTAGTCACTTCCTAACTTGTACCTAGCACGCTTGCTTATTGTGGCTTCTATTTGATCAATCTTTATGTGGGATTTTTTATTACGGAAAAAAAGGTCAGTGTGTTGCTGCTCTGAGATGTGTGTGTTCTTCCACTTAGCCTGTGGACAGCATTTTTTTTTTAGCAGTCCGAGGGCACCAAATAATCTTGTGGCATCACTTAATGTCTCTCTGCTCAAATTCTTTTCCACCTAGTAAATAATGATAGTACCACCAGAACTTCTCATCTCAAATGGATATTGAATCAAATGAAAGGTGGTATGAAAATATTTCTGAAAATTATGAATTTTCTATAAATGTTGTTTTTAGGAACTACAGAACAAATGTATTTCCTTTAATCACCAAGAAAGGTAATAGCTGTTATATGCTGATATATGTTTTCTCGGTATGTGCTATGCACTGAAGATAATGTGCTGATGTGCTGTTTTTCTTGTAATTGTGTGCTAAGTGGGAGAGTAAGAGTTAATCATTTTAGAAACTATCTGAATATTGAGTATTCAGCTACTAAGCGCTGGTATTGCCCAAGGCACTTAGTGGCTCTTTTATGAAAGCACATTAAGTTTGCATTAATTCTGATTTTATTAATTTATTACAAGCTCAAGAGCTCAATTCAAGTTGTAAAAAAGACATTAATAACATAAACAAAGTTATAAACCAAATAAGAACTCTTCTGTATGCATAGAACATGATCATAATATAAGTAAAGATTTGACATGCATATACTAATTCTAATTGGCCTAAATTGAAATGTATTTCTTTAATTCACATACTACATTAAAAAAAACCTCCCCTATCCTCTTATTCTAAATGAACGAGATGAATCCATTTCTATTTCTCTTGATTGGTAAACCAAGCTTGGAGACACCATCTGTAGATGGTTGGGATTCTGCCAAAGATTTAAATCAGGCTTACAAAAAGTTACCTGCCTAAGGCAAGAAACTGCACCGATTTAACGGAAAAGACCACACTTCTATTTCACCATCTGGTAAAAGAGAAGGAAAATACTTAGAAAAATTTTAGTTTTTGCTTCACAGTGATAGTACTGTATTATACAGATAACAGTATTTCAAAATATAATTGTTGAGGAAATTAGGTAATGTAATTGCTGGAATTTGGGTGATTAATTACAAGTCTGATAGGAAGGCTTATCCCAACATCTTGGTGCTGGAGGCAAATGTTTCAGGATAAAAAGGAGCCATTAGACGAGAGCAGACAGAAATGTGCCAAGTTGAAAACCAATTCAGCCTTCTTCGTGGGCAGCACTGAAAGCCTTAGACCTGTGTGGACTTGGTATAATGTGATAGTAATCCTTTTTAACTTTTTAAACATATTTTCGCTTGGCAGAGTAATCAAGTGCAAGAAGAACTCATCTGTCTGCATTCTGAGTCCTGCCCTGCGCAAGCCCCTGTAACGCTGACCGCCGCCTCTACCCCAGACATTGTTCTGGGGCCCGTATGAGGTCAGCAGTGTGAAGATGACCAGTGCCTTCTTAGCATGACGACCTTGGACCATGTGATCGCTACCCATCAGTCAGAGTGGGTCTCCTTCAACGAAGAGCCACTCTTTCCTGTCCTTTCTGAGGGTAAGGAGTGCTTTTTTTTCTTAAAGTGACAAGACCTATGAATCTTGACTGTTTGTTATTATGGATTCTGCTTGGTCATTCTTCGAATAGAATCTTAATAAGGAAAAAGGTCCAGTGTGATCATGTTCCTGACATTTATGAATTCTTCCATTTAGAAACCTAGGGGAAGCATCTTAGTAACCTTAGGGCTCTACAAAGGGCCTGGAAACACCAAAGTCTTGGGTCTTTCCCTCCAATATAGCAGTATTCAAGAAGTATTTTAGTGGCAACCTTTCTTATGGTTACATCCTACTAGCAACTTGAACTTTTTGTTTTTAAAATGTATCGTTACAGTGGCAGGCTCTGGAGTCATATTGCTTGAGCTCAAACCCTGACCTTATCACAGATAAAAGGTGTGCTCTTGGAAAAATTACTATTTCCTCTCTCTGCACATCATTGCATTATCTGTACAGTCATCATAGTACCTATTTCAGGAGTCTTTGTGTGGGTTAAATGAATTAACATATATCAAGTACTTAGAACAGTGCCTGACCCATGGAAAGAACTCACAATTGTCCTCCTTGGTCACAGTGAAGGTGCTTAGGGAACAAAGGTTCAGGAAGGATGATGGTAAAGGGAGAGTCTGGGAGATCTGCAGAGCTGTGTGATTTTATTCTGTTCTACCTCAGCTGCCAGCTCCATGTGAAATCAACCCACCTTTACTTGCAGCACTTGGGAAGTATGAGTCTGCAGAAGTGCCATGCAGTACAGTGTCTGTATGACCAGCGATCCCTTGAAATACAGCAAATTTGAATTAAGAACTGCTAAAAGTGAAATGTATTTATGCTGAATTTCTAAGACCTAACTAATTAAGAAGCTTAAATATCTTACCAGTTTTTATTTTTGTTGCATGTTGAAATGATAAATTTATAGCATACTGGTTGGAAACGCATATTATTAGAAATAATTTCTGATCCTGGAGATACAGCTCAGTGGTAAGTATGTATGCTAGGCTCCTGGTTCCATCCTCTCAACCCCTAAAAAAAGTGCCAGATGAGGAAATGCACACCTGTAATCCCAGCTGTTCTGAAGGCTGATACAGGAGGATCACAATTTGGATGCCGTTTTAGGCCACAGAGCAAAATCCTGCCCCCCCAAAAAAGATAAGGGTGAAGCACTTGCCTAGGATGCACCAGGCCCTGGGTTCAGTCTGAAATACCACCACCAAAAAAAATAATAAATAAAGTAAAATAAAATAAACTTTCCAGTCATTTTTACTTTTTCATAGGTGGCTATTAGAAAATTTAAAATTGTATGTATGGGTCACTTTTTATTTCTGTTAGACAGTAGTCTAAAGGTTTTGATTACATACAGGTCTCCAGTTTCTTTGGCTTGAGGTAGGAAAAAAGACTTTCGATTTTAAAAATTTTCGCATAGCAAAATTGACTTTGTGTAGTATATATTTCATGAATTTTAACACATGTATAGGTTTTTTTTTTTTTTTTTTTTTTGTCTTTTTCATTTTTACTGGTACCAGGGATCGAACTCACGACTGCCTGCTTGCAAGGCAGGCACTTATGCTGCTGAGCTAAACCCCCGGCCCCTACATGTATAGATTTTTAACACATGTAAGATATTTAAACTTCTTAATTAGTTAGGTCTTAGAAATTCAGCATAAACACATTTCACTTTTAGCAGTTCTTAATTCAAATTTGCTGTATTTCAAGGGATCGCTGGTCATACAGAATACCACCGTATTCTGTAGATCTTTCACTTTCAAAAATTTTTTCCAAGTATGAAATGTCTCAGGAAAATCCTTTATATCACTGAATTGGTCATTAGTGCAGAGTTTGGTGTTTGCAGACTCCAGTGCAGTCTGGATGGTAGAGTTGGTTTTTTTGTTTGTTTGTACTTTGTTTTGTTTTCTTTGGTACAGGGTATCCAACTAGGACCTTGTACTTGCCAGGCAGGCACATATACTGCTCAGCTCCTCGCCCTGGAGTTTTAAATTTGAATTCTGTGCATTTACAGCCTCTGTAGTCTCTGTTGCCTTTATTTGTCCCACTCAGCAGAGGTTTATCTCTTGTTGGAGCTCTGCACACATTTTTCATTTGTGTTGCCCAAGCACTGGAGTAGATGCTGAGATTCAAAGAGTAACTGAGCTTGGTGTGATGGCACACAACTGTAATCCCAGTACTCTGAGAGACTGAGGCAGGAGAATTGCAAGTTAGAGTCCAGGCTAGGCAATTTAGCAACTTAGCGAGATCTTGTCATAAAGTGAAAAGTGTAGCTCAGTGTGAAAATCCCACATTCAATCCCTAGTACCATTAAAAAAAATTTTTTTTTGGTACCAGGGATCCAACTCAAGACCTTGTGCTTATCAGGCAGGTGCTTATCTTGCTTAGCGAAATCCACAGCCCCATTAAACAAATTTTTAAAAAGTGATCAAGGCTCCTTTCTCAGCCTGCCCAGATACTGACTGGGGCATGTTGGGGTCATAGGTTTCACATGTAATGAGGGGAACAGTCCTTCACCATAGAGATGGATCAGCCATCCAGTCCCGTGATAATAGCAAGTGCTGAAGTCACCTGTTGCTTTTGCCTCTCAGAGATAGTTGGACGAATGCCCTTCTTCATGTGATGGTGGTGTCTGCTGTCTGTTTCAGGGGATGCTGAGGAGCACCTCCCGGGACTGTCATCTTCCTCAGACCAGTCTGAGAGCTCCTCTGTGGGGAACCAGGCAGTGGATGGAGGCACTCGGGACCTTTCCCCCTCTGAGCAGGATGACTCCTCTGAAAAGCTGGGCCTCATCTCTGAAGCGGCCTCTCCTCCTGGGAGCCCTGAGCAGCCCCCTCCTGACCTGGCCTCAGCCATCAGCAACTGGGTTCAGTTTGAAGACGACACACCCTGGGCCAGCACCTCACCACCTCATCAGGAAACAGGTGGGAAGGCAGAGGCTTGCCACCTGCCTCGCAGAGTGCTTTCCATGAGAGCTCTAAGGTGGCCAGGGTTCTGTTTTACCTGCTCCGAGCCTGGAAGCACCTGCCACACAGGAAAGAACAGCTAGAAATATCATCTACTTTCTAATAATTCTGTAACTAGTTTTTGTCAACATAAGCATCCACAAGACTTTACACATTCTTTACACATCCTTTACACATATTTTCATCTTCTGCCTTTGTCTTTGGAAAGATGCCTGCATTTTTATCTTGGAGCTACATTTACTTAGCATCTAAATTGTAAGCGTCTTACACAAGATGTTGCTCAAAGCATGGCTCACTGGGTGTCTCTAACAGAGTTCCCAGTGAGCCTAGTTAAACATGGGCTTTCTCATGCCTTCAACATTCAGAGTCTAGATCTTCAGGGATAGAGATGGTCATAAATGATAAAGCTCTTACTTTATGGCAATGAAATGGCCAGTAGCTGCTCTGGGAACCTCAAAGTAGCCAGGGAGCTATTAGTGTCCACCCTAGTGATCTGGCTACTTAATGTGTTGGGCCCTGAAGTGTGCCAAGGGGATTAGATACCCTTTGGAACTGTGTTAATTTTTTACCTGCTGCTGTCATGAATTGCCAGAAACTTAGTGACTTATGTAAGTTTATCCTCTTACAAGTTTATCCTGTGTTTCTCAGCAATTCACATGGATGTGATTGGACTAAAATCAAGGAGTTACAGGGCTGCAGTCATTTCTGGAGGCTGTAGAAAACCTGTTTTATGGCCTCTTATGGCTTATGCAGGCAGTCCATATTCTTTCAGGTGGACCTTTTTTCTGTCATTAAAGCTAGGAGTGTAGCATATTCTGAAGTGGCATCGTTCTCTAACTTGTGGTTCCCTCTTCCATTTTTAAGGACCCTTGTGATGACATTGGGCCATGAGGATAAGGTCCTCATCTCAAGTTCTTTACATAATCATATAGACAAAGTCCCCTTTGCCATGTGAGGTCCATATCCACAGCTTCTGGGGATTGGAATGTGGATGTCTTGCAGGGTTGGGAGTATATTTTTCTCTCTTCTACAAGATCTATTAGCAAAAAGCAGGGTTGCTATGTTTTTTCTGTTGGTTGTTTAAATGTTTTGCCAGTTATAACTAATTGCAAATAATTCCTTGGTTTTCAAACATGTTTTCCAAAACAATAAAAATCAATTTAAGTAAATATAAAGCATGATGTAAAAACATAATAAACATTTCAGTATTTATGTAATAATTTACATATTTATGTATACTTCTGCATTTAAGCATCAGATTTTCAGTAAATTGTTGGTGAGAGAACCATAACAAAGCAACACGGATGAGTGACAAGTTCAGACAGGCTTCCATTCTGGCAGACGAGGGCAGAAGTGACCTTACTGACCACCTAACACTGGCATGACTTTGTGATAAGTTATACATGGAGGGAGAAGTCACTGAATGCTGGTGTTATGTTTCTCAGAAGTTTGTGTTGAAATCTAATCTTAAATGTGTTGGTAATAAGAAGCGGAGCTTTCGGGAAGGGACCAGGACATGAAAGTAGAGCCTTTGTGAATGGGACCAGTGCCTTTGTAAAAGGGATTGAGTGAAACCCCATTTGATAATACAGCGTTTGTCCCCTTTGTCATGTGAGGGCACAGCTAGAAGATGCCACCCAAGGAATAGCCTAGACCAGAGACCAAATAACGTGTTGGTTCCTTGCTCCTGGACTTCACAGTCTCCAGACTGTACACGAGTTCCTGTTGTTTATAATTTATCATGTCTAAAATATTGTGTTTATTTTTTGTTTTTGCTACTGGGAATCAAACTCATGACCTTATGCTTGTCAGACCGGTGCTGTGCCACTGAGCTGTATCCCTTGCCCCTTAAGATTGTAGCAACAGGGACAGACTAAGCAAATAGCAGTGAATTAATATATTGGTTGTTTTGTTTTGTTTTGTTTTGTTTTGTTTTTGTACTGGGAATTGGACTCAGGACCTTGCAATGCCAGGCAGGTATTTGTGCCACTGAGCTATATCCCCAGACCAATGAGTTGATGTAGCAGTATTTTTAAAATAATTTTTAATAGGATAGGTTTATTGAATACTAACTCAGACACATTCTTCAGTGTTTTCCCTATATTATGTCATGTAGTCTTTAGAATAATTGTACAAAGAAAGTATTAATAGTCTATTTATTTTTCTGTGAGGAAACTGCGGCAGGTATTGGTTTAGGAATTTCCCCAAAGCTGTCGTACGCTAGGAAGTGACAAGAGAGGGCTTCTGCCCTGGCGTGGGAGCTTGGGTGGCCCAGCGTGTGCCATCTTTATGTTTGCATCTCTGTTTTTGCTGCAGTTGCTGCTCCACACTCTCGGCCCATTACACAGGTGGTAAGGGAGGCCGTGCTGGGAGGTAAGGGGCGGGTAGAGTGATGTTTCTCTCCCCATTTGCCCCCAAATGGCCATGCATTCAGCTCAGTTATATTCATGGCCTTCGAATTCTTTCACACCTACACCTGTCCCTTAGCCTGGAAGACATTTCGAGTATTTTAAAACTATTTATTTATTTATTTATTTGTTAGTTAGTTTTTGTTTTGTTTTTAAGGCAGAGTTTCACTATGCAGTTTAGGCTGGCCTTGAACACACTTTGTAGCCCAGGCTGGCTCGAACTCATAGCAAGCCTCCCAAATTCTGGGATTACAGGTATGCACCACCATACCCAGCAGTTCAGAACTGTTTATAAGGCCAGAGATTTAGCTCAGCGGCATAAGCACCTGCCTGACAGGCATGAGGTCGTGAGTTCGATCAAACTGTTTATAAGACAGATGGTTCAGTTTCCTTCACCTCTTCACCACTTATTTTTGTAAAACTAATTTTGGGGTCGGTTCTGATCATGTTTCCTTGGTCTAGCCAAGATGTCTTGTTATTTGCCATGTTTTGATGTACTATTGGAACTTTATTCTTTAAGGCAATGGTTATCTAATTTTGATCCATATGCTCCTGGGTTTCCCCAAAGGATTTGTGGGATAAAAATTATTTTCATAATAATTCTAAGATGTTTTTGCCTTTTTCACTGCAGTGGCATTTGTACCAATGGTGCAGAAGTAATGGAAAGTTAAATTTCTTGCCATTACTTCTACAAGGAGAAAAGGTTATACTGAAAAAATTGAGTTTAAAGTAATTTTAATTAATATAATCGATTTACAAATCAAAATAATCTTTGATGAACAAAAAGTATAAGACATGATCCAACTAACACTACATGACTCTTCCTCATTACAGGGTCCCACTTCTGGCTCTAGTTCCAATAAAATTTTATTTCTAGGGGCCAGGGATTTAGCTTAGCAGCGTAAGCGCCTGCCTTGCCAGTGTGTGGTCTTGAGTTAGATCCCCAGTACCAAAAAAAAAAAAAAAATTATTTGTGAAGTCAAGTGGTCAATCTAATTTTGCTACTTTGATTTGACATTTTCAAAATATTCATTAAAATGTTAATTTGATAACTGAAGTTTTGGACACTGCCTCAATTTTGCAGCCAAGACAAGTGTATCATTTAATTTACCCATATTCTAAGCCTGTGCTGTTCTGAAAATGGAGTCAGTGGTATTACTAGAAAACAGGGCCAGAAATAACTTTCAAATATGCAGAAACATAATGTTGGCTTGAAAACTGTGCAGACATTAGTAATCCCGTCTGTTGCCGTGTTCGAAAATTTCACTCACCCTGTGGCTGGCACTGTTTGCCTTGGGGGGAGCTGGTAGAAAGATTTACCAGCAGACTTGATGCCTGAAGAGTAGGCAGGAAGCAGACAGCCTGCTCTGTCCTCAGGTAGTGTTGGTAATATGGGCACCTGTGAGCCGTGAGGACTCTGTAGAGTATTAGGGTGTTTTAACTTTGTTGGGGGAGAGCTGGAGATTTAGCTCAGTGGCATAAGTGCCTGCCTTGGAAGCAGGCAGTCGTGAGTTCAATCCCCAGTACCGATAAAAAGGAAAAAGGCCAAAAAAAGAAAATTTAAAAAAAACTTTGCTGGGGGGAAGGTTTATCTATGTACTTCATGCTGGCCTTGAACACCCTTATGTTGCCCAGGCTGGCCTCAGACTTGCAGTGATCCTCCTGCCTCATGATCCCAAGTACTGGGATTATAGGCGCACACCTCCATGCCTTGCTTTAAAAAAAAGTATTTTTGAATAACAAGTAAAAAGGCAATAGATCCCAAAACCAAATCCCAAGTCTGCTGATGCCCAACTTGACCCATCAATAAATCTACTGAAGAAAAGGTGGTGCAGTGCATTCTTATTATCCAAAGTAACCTTTCCAACATGGGCTCACCATGTTGGATTTCTTCCCTTGAACTGTGATTAACAATAAGAAAAAGTGATTTGTAAAACTAAACTCAAGTGATTAAAAGAGAAACTAGGCCTTTAGTCCACTCAGCATGGACAGTGTAGACATTCCTCAGTTTTGATCGTTGTTCTATTCTGGTGGCTGTTGGCAACTCAGATTCTAATTTGCATCTAAAATGTTTGAATACAGGTCCTGTGTTACTAGCACCAAATAGGCAATGGCAGGCCTTACACAGAAAAAACAGATATGTGCAACAAGGTTCCTCACAGTGCCTGAGACATTGTGAGACTTGTACTCTCTAGTGTCTACTCAGTTCTTGGTACTTTTTTTTTTTTTTTTTTTATCGTTTTCCTTTTTATCGGTAGGGGGGATCGAACTCACGACTGCCTGCTTGCAAGGTAGGTGCTTATGCCGCTGAGCTAAACCTCCAGCCCCTCGTTCTTGGTAATTCTAAGTATGGTGGTGTAATGGTTGGCACATTGTGTCAATTTGAGAAGTTTATAAGTTTAACTAAGCCACTCAGTAGGGAACCAGGGTCTGTTCTTTGTAAAAGTCCTCAGCCTGTGCAAGAGGGGATCAGAGAGGGTGTGAGTGCTGCGCTCACCCTGGGGGTGGTTGCCTGCTTGCAATATAAGGGTAGAAAAGAAGCTTGTCCTC